GTTAACTATAGACCAGTAATGTTTAATTTTACTAGTTAGGTTTAGAGATATGGTGTGAATTCAGTTCAGGTTAGTGTTAACTAAAGACCAGTAATGGTTAATTTTACTAGTTAGGTTTAGAGGTATGATGTGAGTTAAGTTCTGGTTCAGGTTAGTGTTAACTAAAGACCAGTAATGGTTAGTGTTACTAGTTAGGTTTAGAGGTATGATGTGGACTAAGTTCTGGTTCAGGTTAGGGTTAACCATAGACCAGTAATGGTTAATTTTACTAGTTAGGTTTAGAGGTATGATGTGAGTTAAGGTCTGGTTCAGGTTAGTGTTAACTATAGACCAGTGATGGTTAATTTTACTAGTTAGGTTTAGAGGTATGATGTGAGTTAAGGTCTGGTTCAGGTTAGTGTTAACTATAGACCAGTGATGGTTAATTTTACTAGTTAGGTTTAGAGGTATGATGTGGAGTTAAGTTCTGGTTCAGGTTAGTGTTAACTATAGACCAGTGATGGTTAATTTTACTAGTTAGGTTTAGAGGTATGGTGTGAGTTAAGTTCTGGTTCAGGTTAGTGTTAACTATAGACCAGTGATGGTTAACTGTAGGGAAAATGTCTCGGTTAGGTATAAATACAGTTACAAAAATGAATGGAAGTCAATACAATGTCCTCAGTTTGATGTAAATACAAGGATGTGTGTGTGTGTGTGTGTGTGTGTGTGAGACAGGTTCTTATCCATCCTGCTTCATGTCTCTGACAGGTATCCTGGAGATCAGGACGGTGTCAGAGAAAGGCGTTCTGGCCATCAAAGGCATAAAGAGTCAGCGCTACATCTCCATGAACAAGAAGGGCCAGCTGCAGGGCAAGGTGGGTCTGATCCTCCTCAAAGAAGAAAAGATTCTGTTTAAACCAATAACTGATAGATTGAATTCTGCTTGGAGTCGACCTCAGAAATAAAAACGTTAAACTAAACTCCTGCTGTGTTTGTGTGTTTTTGTGTTGTCATTTCAGAGGATCTACAACGACAACTGCAACTTCAAAGAGTTCTTCCTAGAAAACTACTTCAATGCTTACGCCTCTGTGAAGTGGAACACGACTAAAGAGATGTTCATCACTCTGTCTCAGAAAGGACGGCCTCTGAGGGGCAAGAAGACCAGGAGGGAGCAGGTGGCGTCTCACTTCATCCCCATGAAGTGTAAGGAGGACGAGGACAGACAGGTGGAGTGAGGACAGTCTGCAGACTGAATGATGTCATCCTGTTAACATATAAAACACACACCTGTAGCTCTGACAGCACGCCACGCTCTCCTGACTGTTCTCACTAAGAGCTAAATACTAAAGTCCACAGTCTGGATCAGGATCTGGATCAGGATCTGCAGGTCCAGGATGGACATYAGGTTTGACCCAGAGGAGCTGAAGCAAGCTGGACTTGTCTTTAAGAAGAAACAGGAAACAGATGAAACATGTTTTCTGTGGCTTTGGGATTGAAATGTTTGAATAAGATGCTGCTGCTGCTGAAACATCACAATAACGCTGTTTTCTTTATTATAACTTATTATTTGTAAAGATATTTTCTCCTGTTTCTGTTCCAACTTTTTATTAAAAATAAATGAAAATAAAACCTGCCTGCAGATCCGTTTATTTTATCATAAACTTTATTTAAACACCGGCTGCAGGATTCAGCTTGTTTGCTAAAGTCAAAATGATCTAAACTGCATTAAATCAAAAAAACAAAACAAAAGCTACAATCTAAATGTAACAAAACTACAGCTGAAGGCTACAAATAGCAAAACAGTAGCTAGAAGCTAAATGTAGCAAAAGGACAACAAAGGAAGATAAAAAATACAGWAGTTAAAAGCTAAAATGATCCAGTCTAGAAGGTAAAAGCTAAAAGCAGCATGAGAAGTTATCAGAGCAGCAGCTAAAAAAAAAAACAAATTTTCAGAAAGAAATTAAGTGAAGTTGTGTTTTAAATAAAGTTAAACCTTTGGAAAAATATAAAAGCTAGAGACAAAGAGTCACATCAGCTGAAGAAGCTAAAGGCTAAATTAGAACAAGTGGAACATTTTCTACAAAACACCAGGAAGTAACAGAAAACATTGTGAAACTCTTCAGATGGAACTGCTTTTCTTTGACTGACTTCAAATTATATTATTAATCTGATGTGAGCTGGTGCTGCAGCTCAGATTATAATCTGAAGTGCTGCAGCTCAGATTATAATCTGAAGTGTTGCAGCTCAGATTATATAATAATCTTGTTATGATTGGGTTTTTGGTGCTCTTGTTTGATGATTGGCTGCCTCATTGTCTCCTGCACCTCTGCACACCTGAGGAAGATTCTCCTAATGAGACACTGGGGCTTTATGAGACATCCTGACTGTCAGATCTTCTCTGACACATTCTGGTAGTGTCCAAACCACACTCAGTTTCTAAGTTTTACATATTGTTCTTACCTTCATGTCCTGTTTCCTAAGGTGGATTTACCTGGCTGATGGTTCCTCTCCTTGTGCCTGTAAAGAAAAGAGACTTCCAGTCAGGTTTAACAATCATTACCTGCAGCCAAAGTCAAACACCTCTTCATGTTTACACCACGCTGCCTAAAAGGAACTCACCTGAGTTTATGATTCCTCCTCCGTTCTGTGCTGCTCGCCTCCAGAACACCTGTAAGACAAGAAACACTTTAATTAACATTCAATCATCTCTGAAAAGAGACTGAACCTTTTAAAATACTCACCTGATAATCCCTCACAGCTGATGACCCACCGCCCTGCACCTGTAAATATAAACACCTTTTTATTCCTGCTCTGCTTCTTAGTTCTGATGACTGTTGAACAATTTTATAAATCATATCAAATCTGAGCTGCAACACCTCAGATTATTATTATTGAGCTGTTATACCTATTATTATATTAAAAATATGAAGTGTTACCTGCTCGGATTATATTATATAATCTGAGGTGTTCCAGCTCAGATTATTATATATTATAACAGTAGGGCTGCAACAACGCATGTACCCGTATCAAACAGTGCTTTAGGTTCAACACACACTTTGTATGGAACAATACAGATATTTAAATTTATTTTATCAGCTTGTCTTCTTAAGATGTTCTGTGTTGAAGGATCAGTGGATCTGTGTTCGACTACTCCACCTAGGCTGTATTTTAGAGCTCAGATCCACTGAGAAACTTGCTGTTTCAACAACATTTAATTTAAAAACTGTACTTTTGAGGTTAAACAAATGTTCATAATTAATTTATATAAATTACAAGTTAAAAGGGACATCAGAATGTCGCTTTTTTGTATCGAAAAAATATCAAACCGTGAGACTAAAGTATCGAACCGAACCGTGAATTTTCTGTATCGTTGCAGCCCTGATATAAAGGAATCACAGCTCAGTGATGATAATCTGAGATGTTCCAGCTCAAATTATTATATAATATAATAATAGGTATCAGCTCAGGTTATTGTATAATAATAGTATCACAGATCAGTAATAATAATCTGAGAAGTTACAGCTCAGATTATAATCTGAACAGGACATGTCAGATTATTATCTAATGATGGGTACCACAGCTCATTTATTATAATCTGAGTGTTACACCTCAGATTATTATCTAATGATGGGTGTCACAGCTCAGTAATTATAATATGAGCGTTACACCTCAGATTATAATCTAATGATGGGTACCACAGCTCAGTAATTATAATATGAGCGTTACACCTCAGATTATTATCTAATGATGGGTACCACAGCTCAGTAATTATAATCTGAAGAGGTCCAGCTCTCAGATGCATGGTGCAGGTCAAAGGTCACACTAGAACAACTCAAAGTAAAGTGTGTTAGAAGCTGCAGGCTGGCTGCCAACAGGCTCTCACAGAGACAGACCCAGGTCCACATGAAGATCAGGTTTTCTCGTTGTGTCTGAGTTCACATCTGCTCTGGAAACCCCCGTCGGATCAGACCCGTGAAACGGAGAACAAACCTCAGAAACACGACGGACCCAAACAACAATGAGCAACAAGAAGCCTCCTGCCAAGTCACGCAAACCCAGAGCGAGCAGGTAATTTGTAACATGTTCCGAATGTAAACACGTTTCAGAGCCGGGGCGGCCCGGTCCCGGTGGGACCAGCAGAGGCCCGGGCCAAACAGCACCAGAGACCAGCTTCAGACGTCCAAGTCTGGAACAGAACCTGGTCCAAAACCTTCAGGTTCTTCCCTGCTCTGCCTGGAACTCTTCATCACTCATCAGGAGAAGCTGGACCAGGTCCTGCTGCCTCTGGAGGAACTCCTCCGACTTTTTCTTCTCTGATCAGAACAAGTTTGTTTCTCAGCAGATAAAARACTTTAATGACTCGTTTAAATCAAGGATTAAATCCAGCAGGCTAAAACACAACATCTGTAATCTGCATCTCTAATCCTTAATCTGTGAAGCTTCTGTTCGATCTGAAGAGCTCCTGAAATAATCCAACAACCAGACAGTCCTAATCCTAAAATAGTCCAACACAACCAGTCACTCCTAATCCTGAAATAATTTAACACAACCAATCACTCCTAATCCTAAAATAATCCAGCGCAACCACTAACATCTAAACCTAAAATAATCCAACAACCAGGCACTCCTAATCCTGAAATAACCCAGCATAACCACTAACTCCTAATCTTAAAATAATCCAACAACCAGGCACTCCTAATCCTACTGGAAACCACACGTCCAACACCTGGCTGTGGACAGACATCTGGGGACAAAACAAAAACATAAAACAGGGAAATGTGATTATTGTTAATAAAATAAAACCATAGGACATGTTTTATATAAACATGTTATAAAAGAAAGTCAGAAGTACAAACAAGAGACAATTTAAGATAAGACAGTTCAGAAACACTAAGGAAAGGTTTGACATAATAGATACATTACAAAGGAATTTAGGGAGCAAACATTTACAAATCATGATACGATTTTTGAAAAAGATAAAATTGTTTAACAGAATTTGAGTTGATAGTAGTATTTATTTATTTATTTATTTATTTATTTATTTATTTATTTATTTATTATATTTCCTTTGAATAGATAGATTTGAAAATGTAAATAGAATACAATAATTTTAGTAGGATATAAATATTAGTGAAATCATCTTGAACCACACTCCACACCAGTAGGTGGCGGTAATGAACACCTTCAGTTTATTGCTAACCGCCATTAAACACCACAGAAGAAGAATAACTGGTCTCCGGAAGTACTTCCCATGCTTCCGGAGACAAAATGAGCGCGTTGTTGTCTGTTGGCTGCAGGTAGGCGACGTGTTTGTGTCCGGGTTCATGAAGTGACCTGAGGTTAAAACGTTTGTTTTTATTAATATCTGTTAAAGGACGAAGCTTCGGCTGTTTCCCGCCGCTGTTTCTTGCCGTCGGCTACAGCTAAAGAAAGGTAACCGGAACTAGCTTAGCTGCGCATCAGGGACGCATGCGCAGTAGCGTCCAGCGTCTTCATCTTTTTATAACCAGTTGTTTCTCATCAGTTCAGTTTAATGTCTGTGTTTGACAATAAAAAATAACTTATTTATTTTTACTCTCTGTTCTCTGTCAGAAACATTTGTTTATTTTAACCTATTTTCATGTTTTAAACAGGAAGTGTGCAGATCACACACAACACTGCAACATAAACATTTAACTTATAAAAGTCTAGTTTACAAAGACACAAACAAAATAAACTGTAGTCTTTTAGAGAACACACAAACCAGACAACAGATTCTACATGTGTTTTTACATCTTGTGTATAAAGTTGCAGCTCCGTGTGAAGGACACAAACAGTTGTTTATTTTACAAACAGATAAAATCAGGACGTGTGTCGGTCAGTAACACAATGTTTGTGTGTCGGTCAGTAAAACAGTGTTTGTGTGTCGGTCAGTAAAACAGTGTTTGTGTGTCGGTCAGTAAAACAGTGTTTGTGTGTCGGTCAAACACAGTTTAAGTCATTTGTCAGAAAATAAAAAGCTGCTGTTAATGTGGAACAAGCAGTCCCAGCTGGACCCGGCCTCTCATTTTGTGCTTATATAAATGTTGAATTGTTGTTTTTTTGTGTGTCTGTTTGGTTTGTGTGCAGAGCCAACCTTGTCCCAGGATCAGTCTGTCAGCATGAGCAGCCTGGACTCACACCAGCAGCTCTCTGCTGGCTGCCGGGACAAATCAACAGCTGCTGACTCAGAGGAGTGCACCAGGCCGCCCCTGCAAGGCCTGCAGCTGGCATCGCACGCCGTGTTGGACCGGGCCCGGCAGAGAGGCAGGGTGTCCTGCTCCAGGTGTGGACGCAACAGGATGTTCTTCTGCTACAACTGCTGCTTGTTACTGGGCACGGATAAGGAAGCCGTCCCTCGGGTCCAGGTCAGAAGAACCGATCCGGTCCTGCTGCCTCAGAGCCAGGCTGATGTTTCTGACTAACAGTTTCATGTTCTCAGCTTCCTGTGAAGATCGACATCATCAAACATCTCAAAGAATCGGACGGTAAGAGCACCGCCGTCCACGCCAAGCTCCTGGCCCCCGACGACGTGACCATCTACACCTACCCCTGCATTCCTGACTTCCACACAGAGGAGGTCAGAGCTGCTTCCTGTCCTCACCTGAACAACCGTCCACACATTTCTCTTCTGACAGCTGCAGGAAACGCTTTTATTCACTGCTGCCTGTTGTTTTATTTACTGCTGCCTGTTTGTTTATTTACTGCTGCCTGTTTATTTATTTATTTACTGCTGCCTGTTTGTTTATTCACTGCTGCCTGTTTGTTTATTTACTGCTGCCTGTTTGTTTATTTACTGCTGCCTGTTTATTTATTTACTTCTGCCTGTTTGTTTTATTTATTTACTTCTGCCTGTTTTTTAATTTATTTACTTCTGCCTGTTTTTTTATTTATTTACTTCTGCCTGTTTTTTTATTTATTTACTTCTGCCTGTTTTTTTATTTATTTACTGCTGCCTGTTTAAGAAACAAACGGTTGTTTCAGAGTCCATTTAGGACTGAAAACAAACAAAAACAAATCTTCAAATATTCAACCCGACCCAAGCAGCAGGATGGATTATTTAACTACTTTAAACACCTGATACCAGAGATTCTACTTTATCATCCTTTCAAAATAAGACTTTCTGTCTGTCTGTCCTTTCAAAATAAGAGCTGAGACCAGAGATTCTACTTTATCATCCTTTCAAAATAAGACTTTCTGTCTGTCTGTCCTTTCAAAATAAGAGCTGAGAACAGAGATTCTACTTTATCATCCTTTCAAAATAAGACTTTCTGTCCGACTGTCCTTTCAAAATAAGACCTGAGACCAGAGATTCTACTTTATGATCCTTTCAAAATAAGACTTTCTGTCTGTCTGGCTGACTGTCCTTTCAAAATAAGACCTGAGACCAGAGATTCTACTTTATGATCCTTTCAAAATAAGACTGTCTTTCTGTCTGACTGACCTTTCAAAATAAGAGTACCACAGCAGAAACCTGGGATGAGGGTGTTGTGTTGATAAAAGCAGTCCAGTTGTAAAAGTTTTCTGTTTATAACTGTTTGTTCTCTAGTTTTAGATTTAATTCTTTCATTTTACGTCTTTTATTTGTTTATTTTAGTATTTGTTGTAGCTAACTCTTGACTGTRTGTCACCTGTGTGCAGGTGGTTCTGGTGTTCCCGGGCCCGCAGGCCGTTTCATTTGAGGACATGCTGCAGCGTTTACGTGACAGGAGCTCCAACGGGTCAGGTGACTCCGGTGAGCCCCGCCCAAAGAGGCTGAGAGCCGAAGGAGTCCAGGCGACCCCCCTAAAGAAGGTGGTCTTCATCGACAGCACCTGGAATCAGACCAATGAGATCAGCACAGACGAGAGGCTGCAAGGTGAGGAAGAGGAGCTGCAGGATGAGGAGGAGGAGCAACACTGCTGAATCTCGTTTGTCTGCAGGTCTGCTTCGGGTGGAGCTGACGTCCAGGAAGACGTGTTTCTGGCGCAGTCAGCATGGTAAACCGGACACCTACCTGGCAACCATCGAGGCCATTTATTACTTCCTGAAGGACTTCCACCAGCTGGGCCTGGGTCTGGAGTACCACGGAGAATATGACAACCTGCTGTTCTTCTACTCGTACCTCCACTCTCTGGTCAACTCAGCTAGAAGAGCTGCTAGCAGGAGCTGAAGGGTTCAGAGACAGACTGATGATAAAACTCACTTTACTTTGGTTTTTAAAGTGTATCCC